CCTAGCAACTTTCTTTCATTTGAGAAAAACTATTGTCATATCACATACAAACAGAAACTTAAAGGTCTTCACAGCCACCCGTCAAAATAAAAGTTTGGTTTAGCTTGAAGAAACTGTAACAGAAATATATTATTTAATGTAATAGTACTACTACTAGGCCTACTGCTAATAACATTTTAATTACAACATTATTTTTTAAGGAATATTTACCAGAAAAATGACTTAACAGAATTTATTTAGCAGGCAAATGTAAATACATAAAACTGGGGAAATAAATAAATTAAATAATAATATATTTTTTTAATAAAATCAATTAAATAAAGATGCTTTTGATTAGGGATGTCCCGATCACGTTGTTTTTTTTTTTGCCCTGATCCAATCCGAGTCATTGAATATTAAGTATCTGCTGATACCGATTCCCGATCCGATACTTGTATGTTCCTAGTGTTTGATGCACAATTCAATTACATTAAAGTTATTTAAATCAATCCAATGTATACAGAGTTGTCCAGAGAGTAAATGTAATATATGTATATATGTTTATGTGTGTGTGTGTGTGTGTGTGTAAACATATACAAGATACACTTTCTCTATGTCTATATCTGCACATACTGTATAAAGACATTGGTAGAATATGGGACTACTGATGTAAAGTTCTTGCATTTTAAATAGGCTCTATACAAAAAAGCTGAATAATTGCACCATAAAGGTAAAAAAAAGTGGAGATATGATTAGAAAGCATGAAACTTGTGCTGTCAGAATGACAGTCTTTCAGTCAAATCCAAAGCAAGACGCAATCCATAGCAACTAGGGGTGGAACATTTCTCGGTAAAAAAATCAAAACCGTACGGTTCTCCACACACGGTTCGGCACGCACTAGGACCGCGGTTCAACTTAAATTTGACAACGCATCTGTAATATGGTTTGTTATAAATAACACGTAAAACAAACAGGGTTCGGCTAATGTATGTTTCTGTTGATGGATGCGCATTCTGGCTTCCAAATACGTTACAACAACAGCGATGGAAAAAAAAAACGTGGACAAACCATTCACTCTTTTTCAATGCGAATGCTGGAATATGAGCAGTCATTTATTCCGTTATCGTGCTGATAGCGTGCATGCACAGGTGAGACCTGAACAGCACACGTTGATATCTGTGTTTAAACTAAACTCATTTAAGCTTGGCCAGTTTAAACATTTAAGAGCCAGAGGACACGAACTTGTGCACGCAGTGAGAAGATTTGTGCGTGCACTTGTCCAATGCGTGCAAACCCGCACCTCAGAACGTGCGCAAATATTAAGCTCTCTCTGAAGTATCATGTTTGAATGGACAAATTCACACAAAAATTATGTCAAATTGCCTGTCTTGGTAAGTATCCTATAACAGACCAAGCTGGCTGAACATACTGAATCAGTGCATTGGATCAGTGCATTCTCTTAAAGTGACAGCACTTTCTTAATATTAATCAAACAACAACAACAAAGAAATCACTCACTGCTCTTGATTGAATAGCTTTTGTAACTTTAATAAAGATTAATCTTTAATTTATACAGTAAAATATGCAATGCTATTTTACATTAAAATATTGTTACGATTAAATCTAATGTTAGACCTACCTAAAAAAACCTGAAAATCACTGTTTATTAGGGCCCGAGATCTGCACCAGACTTCACATGTTTGATAAAAGTCTTGGCCTGAAGACATCTATATGCCAACGTCCAGTTATAATCATAGCGCCACCAGCTGGCAGCAGGAAGTTTGGCGCATATAAATGACTTTGACATATTCCTCTTATATTTACCACTTTAAATGCATATTGCCCACTCTTTGCTCTTTTCCAAAAGCCACCGGGTGGCGGTGAGCCCGGGTGCGAGGGCCCTTTCATCGCTGCTTGCAGCTTTAATTTTATTTGTATCTTTACTCTATATTGTATTTATTTGTGCTGTTGCATGTAGTTAGATAGATTATTCTTATTTTCTTTATTCTTATTTGATAGTATCGTTTTTTCCCTAAACATAGCACATACTGAACCGTACCGAAACCGTGACTCTAAAACCGTGATACATTGAAAATGAAAGCTCAAACGTGTGTGAGGCGTTAAATCAGACCTCACTGGTTCTCACGTGTCATGCACGCACAATTCTTTTTCTTTTGGTTTTAATGGCAGTTGAACATGCTCATTTGAGCGTATTCTTTTCCTTTTAATGACTCTAGAAATATTAAAATGAAAAAAAAAAAAAATGAAATCCAGAAAAATGAAAACGGAAAAAACTTGGAAAAAAATAAAACGGAATTTGGGAAAAAATAAAACTGATTTCATAGAGCCCTACCTAGCAACCACATAGCAACATGCTGAAGACCATACAGAACATTCTGAAACCACACACTGTAGTAACATATAGGCCTGTCACAATAACTACTTTTTGCTAGGCGACATATTGCCCCAGAAATAATAACGATAAACAATATTGTCATTTTAGTGATGGTAAATTTTTACCATCACTAAATGTTATAAATGATATGAAACAGTAGGATTTTTAGAAAGGAAAATTTTAAAGAGATAAAAAGAATAATGAAGGAGAATCTATAAATTATGAATAAATTACTGCTCTTGTGTGACTAACATGTAATCATGTATTCCATAAAAAATAACTGTAATCTGATTACGAGCATTTTAAAATGTAACACTCTAATTACAAGTACTTCATTTTTGGAATCTGATTACATAATCCCAGATTACATGTAATCAGTTACTACCAAGCACTGGCAAACACATAGCAATGTTTAAGAAACTCACACCATACACTTTGTATGCCCTGGCAACCACTTCCAATAGCTTAGCATTTTACTGGCAAGTTTTGCATTCCAAGCACCGCTAGAATTTTTTTTTTTTTTTTGGAGAATGTAAATATATAGTTGGAGTTAATCAGTACCACTATAACCTAGAGAAATTAAGAGTGATGAGTGTTTCATCCATGTAGGATGACCTGTTTGAGGGTTAACAAGGAACAGTGTGATGCCTCCCTTCCTCATTTATGCACTGTTGTGGTCAAACCAACCAAACCTGCAGCATATTCTGGCCTCTCCCATGATCCCCTTGGCTCTCTCACGTGGATGCTCATATGTATGTGTAGGATGTTCCAGCACACAATGATAATCTCTTCCCATGTGATCCACATCTCATTCAGCCTAAATGGTCCTAGAAACCCGTGTTTTGCTGAAAGGACCCTGAATGTCGTCCATCCATACCATCCGCTCAGGTACAAGCGGATCATCTCACAGTTATCTAATCTATGCCTTTAAAATTAATGGCTTCACTTCTGCTGTGGGCCGTAGCCATGTCACTCTAAAGATGTGCAACTGATTATGTGCAAGCTGCTGAAGTGTATGAATGAGTTCTCCATCTAAACTGGACTGTGGCTGATCTAGATTCTGAGCCACAGGCTGGTGAGTCTTTGACTTTACATGGGACTAAAACAATGTCATTTATGTTCTGAGGACAACTAGCGGCAGGCCACGTTAGTTGTCATGGAAACTGTCTGCTAAGGTTAGGCTCAGGCAGACGGCTGCTTATTTTGGGATATCATCTATTGGTGGTGTGAGAGGGAATAAGGGTCTGTTATTGCCACAGTATGGCATTTAATAGGAGTAAAACATGGGCTTTGGAAGTAGGCATATTCAGATATGGGGTGTGCGATAATGACAAAAAATGATATCGCAATATTTTTTGGAAGTTTGTCGATAACGATAATTGCTGAGCATGTTATTGTGCTGGTATTTTGGCAGGTTTAGGACTGCCATGGACAGCTGACTCCCAAAGCTTTTGATATTCTTCATATTCTGTGCGGTGGTTCGTTTGCAGCAGTAACAGAAATTAACTTTTGCAACAAGTTTAAATAGATTTTTAGCTTTTATAGGCATTTTTACCTTTATACAATTTTTTTTCTAACCTAATTAAATGTATGCAGCATCTTTTGTGTCAAATTCCTAAATTTAATCAGAATCTGAATCTGCATCTGAAGTGGCATTTAGATGCATTCACACAGACTGTTTAATGCAGGACATGAATACATTTAACCTGCAGTTATAAATGCATAATTAATGTTGAAAAAAAAAAGAGAAACACACTGAATACTGATATTTGAAATAATAAGTGGAGCTGGGGAAGGAGGTGGGTTTCTGAAACGAGCTGCAGCTGCTAATGCAAGCACTAGCTGGGTATTTGAATTTTGAGCAGCAGGCTCATTGGCTGCTGCGTCATGTGAATAATGATGTCATTATGTCAGATTAAGTTGGAAACTATCGGACTGCGCCATATCCACCTTATTTTTCAATGCGGAAGTAAGCCTTTTTCTATCAATGTGCGAGACTTCCGGTTCATTAGCCGCTGTAGGGAAATAATGAGAAGAATAACAAAGTGCAGTAAACGGCAAAACTGTTTGCACTACAAACCAGTGCGTTCATAATTAAGATAATACATTAAAATAATATGGTAAGACACACCAGTTTGAAATATCAAGCCGCAAAATGAGCTGTTTTGTACAGCTAAAAATAGCTGAAAGCGGATGACACCGGAAGTCAGACACATTAAGTTTACAAATGGCCGCAGCCGCTCTAACGGGAAAAATAAGGTGGATAGAGTTTCATGACAGAACTTTGGCATGCATTAAATTGTTCAAAATTGACAGTAAAAACATTTATAATTTTATATAAAAAAAATAATGTGACACTGAAGACTGGAGTAATTGCTTCTGAAAATTCAGCTTTGCATCACAGGAATAAACTACATTCTAAAATATATTAATAATATTATTACCGACCCCAAACTTTTGAACAGTACTGTCTATGTGTTTATATGTGTATGTGTGAAGCTCTGCTTGCCATATGCTTTGCTGTATATCATAGAATAGATTGTAGGATGTTATCTGTTAGTTATCATCTATAAGAGAATTAATTTGTATGTGTGACTGTGTTTAATAAATGTGTTCTGTTTTGTAGAGAAACGATGAGGAAGCTGTGCTGGACAGGGGCGGGACTCGGTCCATGCTCAACACAAATTTCGAGAAAGAGGAGCTAGAAGGTAATTGAAGCTTATTAAACACACACTCTAAACCTGGGAGTCAAACACACTGCCTGATGCATTAATATTTAAAAATTCAATTCAATTATACTTTAAAAACATTATATAAAAACACAATATATTTATAATATTCCATTTTTAGCTTTTTTCTGTTGTTGTGTGCATCATGTTACTCAAATCTTAAAGCAGTAGAACGTTTCTAAACCTTAGCTAAAATTGCAGCAAATACATAGAAATTAATAAGTGAAATTCTTAGGACCGTACACCTTCTTTTTTTAGGCCTGAATTTGTGTTGTTTTTAGATTAGATTATTAAAGCTAACACTGTCTAGCCAATAGCAATGAATTGCTTTCTCTTGTGCATATAGTTTTTGTTTACTATCCCAATATTATTTACTAAAGCAGCATAAAGTTGATTCTAAACATCATTAGCTCCAGAAGAGCATATGTTGTACACCAAATTTGCTTTCAACAGACATTTGGCATGCTTTAAACATAGGCTCTCAAAGTTTTTGTAGAATGGTGCCCTAATTTTCAGACAACAGAGAAGCAGAGAGGAAATAAATCCGCTGTTTGACATTAGCTGTTCTTAGTCCTGAGGAAATATTCCATTTAGAGAAACATTTCATTCCAGCTCCTTCACACACACACACACACACACACACACACACACTTGGAGCCAGAGAGTGTCTGTGCCTAAAGAACCTCTCTGTTTCATCCCCATCCTTACTTAACCCTATATAAAGACCCCCAATTGGAGAGAAAGTGTCTTTTTTTCAGTTTTAGTGAGTTGAATTTTATCTACGTCTTTGTAACTGCTCTGAATTGTGGTGTTTAGAGGATATTTCACTGATGTGAAAGGAAGTGATTCATCTTTGTATGAAGTACAACATGGTCACACAAACGCACACCTCAAGGCTGATGGGGGAAGATACCAGTGAAGGTAATGAGATAAAAGCACACGTGTGTGTGTTTGTTTCAGCCCTGGAGGTCTTTATCACTTATTTAGATGCTAAATTGCACGACTGAGTGAGCCAGTGAAACTAAAGCTCATTAGAGTGTGTATTTCTAAAGAGTGAGACGGTGGTGATATTAAAAAGTGATGAGGTGATTCAGAAGACACAGTCAGCATGGACCATATTTCTGTTCTGCTTTTGATCGCCATCTGTCTGCTTCACACACTTAAGTCGTGATGTAAAGGTCTGTTTTGTGGCTTTTCTGTGTCAGTGCCCAGGGCTGGAAGCACACAAGCACACGTATGTGCTCTCTCCCCACAGACACACACTGTCAGAGTGCGTCTCAGTTCAGAGAGCTGGAGGGAGAGAGTGAGAGAGGGATTTAATGCTATAGTTTAATCTGAGACCGTAAACAAGAACAGAAATACAAAGTACAGAACCGCCGAATCTGATTATATGACTGCAGAGATTGGATCTTGCACAACAGCTTTCTACACCTGCTAGACACTTTAAGATTGAGGAATAAAGGAAGTATTTCTTATTAAAGGAACATTTCACCCCAAAAAATATTTTGTCATGATTTACTCGCTCTCATGTTGATTAAGAACTACATGGCTTTCTTTCTTCCGTGGAAATTTGTAAGCATCCAGTGACAGTAACAGTAATTAAGACAACATGTTTTCTTTGGCAAAATGGCACAGAAATATCTTGTCAAATAAATTGTCAGATAACAAAAATAATTAGAAAATTTTAAACAAATCCCAAATCAATCAAATAAATAAATAAATAAATTAATAAATAAATAAATAACTAAAACAAATAGAAGAAATATCTTCATATAAACAAACTAAAGGTTTTTTATAGCTTTTTAAAAAAAAATTTTTTACATGTTTTTAAAAAACATTATTATTATTTATTATTTAAAAAATAAATATCAGCATGTCCACATTTTCCAGCAAAAAATTCCTCTTGTACAAAAAATGCATTTGAAGCAAAAACAGAGTCGTCTGACTTTAGCTTTCTGAAATTATGCTACATAAAACTATAAAAGCAGACGGGCTGAATGAGAACGCAGATTCTCTCTCTGACAGCAGGTGGCGCTTATGGAACAACAGGAATATAGCATGTCCTTGGTTACCGCTGTAAACAAGGCAGCACTCCGATTATAAACACTAATTTAATATGCATTATAGGGAGGCAAGATGAAAAGAAAATACCATCTAAACGTTTCTGAAGACAGTCAGTTCCCCTCAGAGATGCATTCATAAAACCCCCCAGCCCCAAATTTATCAACTGACTTGTATTGTCAAATATTTTCATCGATTTTCAACCGGCTCAGGATGCGTCGTGCGTAATGTATCCCTATACATTAAACATCAGTATGCTGAACAGGAAAGCTACTGATTTCACAGCCTCGTTGTGTTAATAATTGCGCTCTTATATACCATTCTAACTCAAACTTTCCAACTTATTCAAAAAAAGATGTTTTATAAGTAATATTGTGTTCATTTGTGAAGATCTTAATGAACAAAATGTGTAAGAATGATAAACTTTTGTTGTGCACAAAGCTCTTTTTCTGCAATAATCCAGAAGCCAGTGGATAAATCCTATTGATGCTAACTTCTGGGTTGGCCTACAAAAAATACGTTATCACTGTAGTGCCCTATAGCTACTTTGTTTAGAACATTTTGTGATAGCTGGCCTCTTCTGTTTGTCCCTGGCAGGCCACCGTACCCTCTACATTGGGGTGCATGTACCACTGGGTCGGAGGTCACACAGACGGCATCGTCACCATGGACATCGCCACAGGAAGAGGTCACGGGAGAGAGACTCTGGAACCGAGGATGGCAGAGAATCACCTTCATATAGTAAGTCTGTCACTCTACAAGGATAAATGAAAACTTGACTGAGTCAAAAAGGACAGAGATAAATAATAAAATGTGTCTCTGTATTTCTGTAGCAGACACACCGTCTCAGCGTGTACAGTTCCTGCTGGGAATGGAGGATGACGAGGAACACATTCCTCACGCTCTCTTCACAGAGCTGGACGAAATCTGCCTGAAAGAGGGAGAGGATGCGGAATGGAAAGAGACGGCGAGGTACAAATACACGCACACACGCACGCAGAGGATACACAAAGAAGCAGGGACATTTTTTTGGGAAAATTAATAATATAATATGCTGATTTATTATCAATGTTGGAAACAGTTGTGCTGCTTAATATTTTTTTGGAACCTATAATACTTTTTTTATTTTTTTTTTTATGTTTTAATGAATAAAAAGTTAAAAAACAGCATTTATTCAAAATAGAAATCTTTTGTAACAACATACACTACTATTCAAAAGTTTGGGGTCAGTATGTTTTTTTTTTTTTTAAAGAAATTAACTGTCCTATTCTGCAAGGATATGCTAAATTGATAAAAAGTGATAGTAAACACATGTATTGTTACAAAAGATTTCTATTTTAAATAAATTGCTGATTTGTTGTTGTTTGAAAATCATGATATATTTTTTCAGGATTTATTGGTGAAAAGAAAGTTGAGAAGAACAGCATTTATTTGAACTAGAAATCTTCTGTAACATTATACATGTATTTACTGTAGTGCTGGGCGGTATACCGGTTCATACCGAATACCGGTGTTTATTTTTGTTATGATATGAATTTTTAAAATACCGCAATACAAGTGTATGTCGCTTAAACAACGTTCGGAATGCGTCACAATCAGTAGAAAATATGGTTAACACCCGGTCATGCATGAAAAAAAAACCCCGTCATGTACCGTGAAACCAGTATAATTTTGAAAAATACCGTGATATACATTTTTGGTCATACCGCCCAGCACTAATTTACTGTCACTTTTGATCAATATAATGTGTCCCGGCTTTTAATTTCTTCCAAAAAAAAATGGTAGTGTATATCATTTATAATTTGCTTTATTCATTGTTTTACATTTTTTAGATCTGGTTTTGGACCAGCACGAGATGTCAGTTTCTTTGGGAGAGGAGGTGAGGAAGAAAATCCGAAATGCTCTCCTTAAACAGCACCACCATCAGAACCAGAAGAAACTGGCTAACCGGATCCCCATCGTACGCTCTTTCGCAGATATCGGCAGGAAGCAATCCGAACCGCACTCCATGGATAAGAATGGTACTGCTCCACACGCTCCAGCAAATGCATTCTTCTGCTTTTGCCATGCATCTGTCTTATCATCCTTTTTGATGGTGTGTCTGTCTGTGTGTCCCAGTTATCATCACGACCCAATCACCCCCCAGTTCCTTTTCCTCTCTCTGGTCTAGGTTCAGCCACAGTGTGAGAAACAGACAGGTGCTCTTATGTCCAGCCTGGTCCCTCCGCTGTCCCAAGTGTCTGTCAGCTCCCCATAAACCCCATCCATCCCTTTCTGCCCTTCCTGCCCCAGACAACCCCCTCATCCGGCCCAAAAAACACTGCATCCCCTTCAGCAAACGACTAAGCCCGCCTTATGGCTACCACGTTATCCCCACCCTTGACCCTGAAGAAGAGACAACATCAGGCAATATGATCATAGATTCGCCTGTACTCTAAAGGTGCAGTCACATTAGTGAAATTTCGAGAGCAAAAAAGGTCCATTGTTAATAGTGTAGAAGTTACCGTCAAACCAAACAGCTTTCTGTTGGTCAATGCTGCAAATTTGGGTTACACTTTACTTGAAGGGGTGTGCATAAGACTGACATGACGCCTTCATAATCATGACATGACACCTACATAATCATGACATGACACATGTCATGAATATGAAGGGTTTTTATGCATGTTTATGACAACTGTCATTAAGTGTCATTCGCTCAGTTATGTAATTTTTAATGCAAAGATGACATTGTTTGAGATGTCTTTGTTATGGGCTATGGTTAGGGGTAGGGTTAGGTTGGGGTTAGGTCAAATAATGTCATATTTGCATTAAAAATGACATAACTGAGCGAATGACACTTAATGACAGTTGTCATAAACATGCATAAAACCTCCTTCATATTCATGACATGTGTCATGTCATGATTATGAAGGTGTCATATCAGTCTTATGCACACCCCTTCAAGTAAAGTGTTACCCAAATTTGTGTGACCCAACTTAAATCTGATGGAACATCTGTGGAACATCAATTTTTTTCCCTCACAAGAAATTCCTGAGCATGTTTGACTGGATTTTGCTCACAAAATTTCGCGAACAGCACTAAATGTGACTGTACCTTAATGTATAGATATGGAATATCTAGATATCACAGAATGATACCATGTCAGTTCATTTGCATCTGTATTATCTTGGCCTTTCCAATATGGTGGACTTGCAAATGTATCATGGTAATTACCAACTGTTTATACAGTTATTTAGGTATTCCATATCAATGCTCTAACCAACAATAAACATAGCGTTAGTGTAGCATTTAACCACTTAGCTTTGCGTTTAACCACCTAGGAAGTAGTACTGGAATTTGTAGTAGACTTTTACATATCCAACCTCATCTAATTGTTTCTGCTTCTGATTTAGTTTTTAAATTTGAATTAGATTTAGACAAGGTTAAGATGTTTGTAATCGGCCTCCTTAACATGTTCCTTTCAACTATTTTTAACCAGGTAAGTGTACCTACAGTAGGTCTTAATCTCCATGACCGTGACATCACTGTCTTTCTTTAAAATGATTGAATCTGTTGTATGATGGTCTCTTATTTATTTTCTCTGTTTTGTATGATTGCTGCACTGCTTCCAGGTCAGATGGTGTCTCCTCAGGCTCAGCCCACCACTACAGAAGGACGTGCGGATGGCAGTCGTGAGAACAGTGCTGTTGACTTCAGCAAAGTAAGAATCACCTTCCAGACAGTAATAAATCTTATTCTGGAACTTAAATATACAAATATACACTACTGTTCAAAAGCTTTTTTTAAAGAAATGAATACTTTTATTCAGCAAAGTAAAGAATTTTATATTGTTACAAAAGAGTTCTATTTCAAATAAATTCTGTTCTTTTAAACTTTCTATTCATCAAAAAACCCTAAAAACTGCATCATGATTTAAATACAGAATTTAAGAAGCATGACTGTTTTCAACATTGATAACAATAAGAAATGTTTCTTGAGCATCAAATCAGAATATTAGAATAATTTCTGAAGGAGCCATTTGAGTAATGGCTACTGAAAAATCAACTTTGCTAGCAAAGAAATAAATTCACTGTTAAAATACATTAAAATAGAAAACAGTTATTTTAAATCAGAATAATATTTCACAATATTACTGTTTTTACTGTATTTTTGATCAAATAAATGCAGCCTTTGTGAGCATAAGAGACTCCTTTAATTAAATAAAATTGTTTAAATAATGATAAATAAAACATGAAATGATTCAGGTAGATTTAGGGACAACACTGTGCTTTATAAGCATGCTAAAAAAAGTTGTGTTGCTGAGGAAGCATGTTTTTGTGTCTGCAGATAGACCTCCACTTCATGAAGAAGATCCCACCCGGAGCTGAGGCATCCAACATCTTGGTGGGTGAACTGGAGTTTCTAGAGAAACCTGTGGTGGCCTTCATCCGTCTATCCCCCGCTGTGCTGCTCAATGGCCTGGCAGAGGTCCCCATCACCACCAGGTAAGAGCAGAGAGATCTGAGCACAAAAAACATGAAACATATTAATGTCTCGGTTGGTCAAGTTCATTTTATCGAGCGGTGTGCCTCAGAGTTCACTACTAAGTCCTATGTCATTGTGCAGGTTTCTCTTTATTCTGCTGGGGCCAATGGGGAAAGGGCCTCAGTACCATGAGATTGGCCGCTCAATTGCCACGCTCATGACAGACGAGGTCAGTACTATGGACAACACTGTGTTTATTTCTATATATGATGATATACTATAGGCAGCAGGCTGTTATGTATGCTAATTTCACCTGATGGTCTTTTCTTCAGGTGTTCCATGATGTAGCTTATAAAGCAAAGGATCGTTCTGACCTTGTGGCAGGAATCGATGAGTTTTTGGATCAGGTGACTGTGCTGCCCCCAGGCGAGTGGGATCCTACCATCAGAATAGAGCCGCCCAAAAACGTGCCCTCACAGGTGACTGAGTTCTCAAACTCCATGCAATGATTCATCACAAATGCTGGAATAAGTGATGCACAGAAATGTCAGCAACCAAAAATATTCAACCAAAAATAGTTTTTCGGTTAAAAAAACAGTTTCCGATGGCCAAAATTATTGACCGAACCGATCATCTCTTCACTACTAGTTATTATAGCACAGTATAATCATGAATGAACATTAGAAGTTATGTTGAAAGAAATAGTACAACTTACTAAAATATATAATGTCTCATGTAATCACTCAATCAGTCTTATAACAATGGAAAGACGTCAATAAAACAGCTTGTAAACAATGTCACATATTGTTACATTTACCTCAGGAAAGCTATTCATTGTCCATAAACTCAGCTAGAACAATTAACACTAGAGAGGAACATTTTGCTAAATATATGAGCTATATTACATATTCATTCATTTTAGTGCATCACTAACTGGAATAGACATATTTTTATCTCCGGTCTGAGATCAATAGTAATGTTGGTTCTGTGTCTCCATCTTGCAGGAGAAACGGAAGGTTCCTCCTCTGGCCAATGGAGGGGCTGATCTGGGGGAGGCCGAGGAGCACGGAGGCCACGGAGGACCAGAGCTACAGCGCACAGGGAAGTGAGTAATCTGCAAATATGTACTGTCCATATATTTTAGTGTTCATGAATTCTGTATATCACGGAACTGGATCTCAGAGGTGTTCTTTTGTTTGGATTGTCAGGTTTTTTGGCGGTTTTTTTCTGGACATCAAGCGTAAGGCTCCTCAGTACCTGTCAGATTACACAGATGCCATCAGTTTGCAATGTCTCGCCTCCTTCCTTTTCCTGTACTGCGCCTGCATGTCTCCTGTTATCACCTTCGGAGGTCTGCTGGGAGAAGCTACAGAAGGACGCATAGTAAGGACACGTGCAAAAACGAATATTAAAACTGATGGGTTGATTATGATGTGACTGATGATTTGTTCTTCCCATTTCTCTCTTAGAGTGCAATAGAGTCTCTGTTTGGAGCCTCTATGACGGGTATAGCATATTCTTTGTTTGCTGGGCAGCCCCTCACTATCTTGGGTAGCACGGGACCTGTCTTGGTCTTTGAGAAAATCCTCTTCAAATTCTGCAAGTGAGACTCCTTTAATTTGCACTAAGCATTTAGATTTCTTTCAGTCAGTTCAGGGGAATTCACTAGTGCTACACTATTTAGTGAATTCACCCCCAAGGTGTCCTTCATAATTTTACCATAAAATAAAGACTAATTTTTATCTGTGTTTTTCTCCTTAGAGAGTATGATTTGTCCTACCTCTCCTTACGCGTGTGTATTGGTCTGTGGACGGCCTTTATGTGTCTTGTGCTGGTTGTCACAGACGCCAGCTCACTGGTGTGTTACATCACACGATTCACAGAGGAAGCCTTCGCTTCCCTCATCTGCATCATTTTCATCTACGAGGCTCTGGAGAAACTCATTCATCTGGGAGAGACGTACCCTTTCAACATGCACAATGACCTCAACCAGCTCACTCAGTACTCGTGAGTACTGACACACAAACACATCGATCTTCCTCAAGGTCACTTCTATAAATTCAGTTGTACATGTTGATAAAGTTTTCAGTGTTAAATATTGTGATGTATTTATGTGTGTTTTGCAGGTGTGTGTGCACAGTGCCTGAAGAGCCCAGCAATGCCACACTGAATTACTGGCAGGAAAAAAACATCACTGCATCTGATATTGACTGGTTAGGCCTGGATGTTAAGGTGAGTGCGACTATTGGTGCATTAAAATCCTCCTAGGAAGTTTGTATTTACGAGTTGGGAATTCGTAAATGTCAGGTGCATTTAAGCTACTTTGGTTGGAGCAAAGATGGCGACATACATTTTCGACCAAAAATTTCGCTTTTTGATTTTTTTAAACTCATCTTTAAGAAATTATACATGAGGCTTAGCTAGTTTTATTGAAAATGAAAAAAGTTAATTCCAACAAATTTACAGTCAATAAAGACTCTGCTCCTATTGTGTCTGCCATATTTTCTCACTGACTTGCCTTCAACTCGGAAAGTCAGGGCTTAATGAATGCTCAGAGCTTCCCACTCATAATTATGACTTTGTGGTGGCATGTGCGTTTAACTCGTAAATACGATCTTTCTGACATGACTTGAACTAGGGCTGCACGATAAATATCGCACGATATTTAATGCGCATCTTGTCAGAAAGCCGGTTCTGTAATCAGCGGTAAATCTCTACACGTGCGTGCTTTCACGTGGAGCAGCATTTACTACACAGAGCCGTTGTTCACAGACAAGCTGCGCAAAACCACGATCATATTTTGCGCATGTTTTGCGCAGCTTGTCTGTGAACAACGGCTCTGTGTAGTAAATGCTGCTCCACGTGAAAGCCCGCACGTGATGGAGATTTACCGCTGATTCCAGAACTGGCTTTCTGACAAGATGCGCGTTAAATATCGCATGCGATTTATCGTGCAACCCTAATAAATATCTAGGGCTCTCAAGCAGTTAAACATTAGGTAACACTTTACTTAATGCCTTTATCTATAATGCATTATAAAGGGTTAATAAAGGGTATAATGCATTATAATTATTCATAATGTGTGTTGTAATACATTACATCTTGTTATAAATATTTATAACTGAATTTAAAATGCATAGTGTAACAATGAATTGATAAGTGTTATAATGTATTAACTGTGGTTACAATTATTAATGAGATTGTACAATGCATTATAATATAAGGTGCATTACAAGGCATAATTAATACATTAAAACTACTTATAAAACAGATAATTCCGGTCCTTGATTCTGATTGGTTGAGCCGCGTTCGAAGCTGTTGTAAATTACACTACAAACATACACCTTTGTTTACTTCTGTGTGTTGCTCGGCAACCACTTTGTTGGAACCACAACTGTTTCTGAGGAACTACATTGTTTGGTGGAAGAATACTGTTTTTATTTATATCATTACACTTTATTTACTCTGTTTTATTCTGTGAAACCTTACTATGTATATGGAATAACCGTTTTATAAAAGCAATAAGCCCCGTGAAGCCGTGGTTTACAGTAAATTTATAACAGAAAAAAAAAAACCTCTTAGCTGTTATAAATTCACTGTAAACCACGGCTTCTTGGGGCTTATTGCTTTAAGTGTTACCAAAAATGTTAATCTAATTACATGATGTGCCAATTAATTAATCTAATTGCAATGGCTGCATTGTGGCCATAACATACTCTAAATATGAAACTAAAGCCACCAGTAGGTGGCGGCAAGTCACTGTCTTAATGTGTGAGTCATTCAGTCATTCATTCAACTGAATCGCTCAAATGGTTGATTCATTCAAAAACGAAGCTAGTGACTTGATCTTTATTAAGGAGTCACTGAATCATTGGCTCACTCGATTTATTCGAAAATGTGGATTTATTCAGCTACAAAACTTTGTTTTGGAACTGTTTTATTGGCCAAATTTAGTGAAAACAGACAATACTGTGTCAAAAATGTTACAATATTAACTTGTTAATTGTACTGTTGTATTAAATCAATATCACATATTAATTTGTTCAGATATTCAGGAAATAAACAGCTCTCTTGTTCGTGTGATATCGCTAAACTTCATCATGTGATATAAAAAAACCCATACAGGGGCATTTTTTTCCTTTCATTTCTTGAATTTTATGGGCATATAAATGCATTCTCTGAGGCTACATCACACAGTCAGTTGTAGTCCTGCATCATGTTTGTTAGCAATTCCATGTAATGTCGTACAGAGCGGGGTGGGGACGTTAAATGCGTTAATCATTAAGCACATTGCATTGTGGGATTGTATGTTCCACACAAACTCAGCTGGTTTGTATACTGCACTTTTTTTTTTCTTTTTTTTTTATATACAAATAATAGATCACCTGTACATACAGAAAATTTGCATACAGTTTTTGGTACTGCATACTACTTTCTGGTAAAACCAGTGTATCATCCCGAACATTCCCACAGACGCTCCTCTCATTTCTGTGGCTCAGATATGGGCTAATACATTTCAGTGACTCACAGATCTTCTTTATGCACCAAGAGCTTGTAATCTCCAAAGAGAAAGGAAAAATTTAAATCGCATCATATGACCCCTTTAATATTACTTTGATTCAAATGAAAGTTTTGTCTGAACAAAGTCTCTTTTTAAATTATTTAACTTTATTTTCATAAATAAAAAATAACAGTGTAATATAATTAAAATATTTATTATATTATATAATTAAAATATTATTATTATCATCACTATTATTGTTTTAATATAATAAAATTAATTTTATTATATTAAGATACAAATAATTATCTTTAATAATATAATGTCTATGTATATTTATTTTATATATCTATATATAAATAGTATATAAATATATAGTTATATATTTATAAAAAAATGTAATTAATATAATATAATAAATATAATATAATCAAAATTTATTTAGACCCATTATACCTGGCCAGTAGTCAACAGGCACTGCAAAGCCATTCACATTTTTAAGGCTCACAGATTTATGTTCATTTTCTAGCACTTACTCTAATTTTGTGTATTTCTAAACAGGTGAGGGCCATTATCAGTGATTTTGCTGTTTTCATCACCATCTTGACTATGGTTCTGATTGACTACGCTCTGGGGATCCCGTCCCCCAAACTACAGGTTCCTAATGAGTTTAAAGTGAGTCGTTAAGAAAGGTTTTTAAGTAATGTGTCCTTTTCATTTGTACATTTCTGCATAAATCTATCCTCTGCATATGAATACTTAATTAATCAGATGATCTCTCACAGCCAACCAGAGATGACCGTGGCTGGCTCATCAGCCCATTAGGACCAAACCCATGGTGGACCACTATTGTGACCTTCATCCCAGCTCTGCTGTGTACCATCCTCATCTTCATGGACCAACAAATCACTGCCGTTATTATTAACAGGAAGGAACACAAGCTGAAGGTGTATTGCTAAGTCCTACTCAATATGCTTCATTTGGTAAGCAGATATTCTTGTAGACTTGATGTCCTTTGTTGTGTCCGTGTGTCTCCACAGAAAGGCTGTGGGTATCATCTGGACCTGTTTGTGGTGGGTGTGATGCTGGGCGTTTGCTCTTTGATGGGCCTGCCGTGGTTCGTGGCTGCGACGGTGCTGTCAATCTCCCACGTGAACAGCCTGAAGCTGGAGTCCGAATGCTCTGCCCCTGGAGAACAGCCCAAGTTTTTGGGCATCAGAGAGCAGCGCTTCACCGGCCTTATGATATTCGTCCTTATGGGCAGCTCAGTGTTTATGACCTCCATACTGAAGGTCAGTGATCTTTGGCTCAGATTGAGTCAGGCTACCAAGTGTGATCAACACATGATGCTTGCATTAAACTTTTGAGATATTTCGTCATTTTTAATGGCTGTTATTTTATGTTTTTGTCCTCAGCATATCCCAATGCCTGTGTTATATGGCGTTTTCCTCTATATGGGAGCGTCGTCTCTCAGGGGCATACAGGTACTGCAATTGCTGAATTCATATATTGTGCTTGATATAGTTGTTTATTCAGATGTTTGTAGGAGTGGCTTATGTTATTTTAGTATTGTTTATATACTATTATAGCATTTATTAATATTTTGTATTAGCTTTTATTTTTTATATTCTCAGTTTTCATTTGAGTTTGTTTTAGTAATATTATGTGCTTTTGTAATTTTTGATTTATTTGATTTAAATATTTTAATAATTTATTATAATTTATAATAATAATTTATATCATAATATAATATAATAATTTATTTTATTTAAATATTTCCATTTAGCTTTATCATTTAATTAAATGGTTTAATAATTTAAATATTTCATAATCTATAATAATTTATAATAATAATTTATTTAATAATATAATATACTAATTTATAATATTTTATTGTTAGGCTTTTGCTTTAATAATGTTTAGTACCCAGACTTCATCTTAATTTATTTCAGTTAGCTGCCAAGTCAACATTTCTAATTTTCATTGCTTTTTTAAGTTAGTTTTTTTAAAATCTAATATTCATATATTATATGAATATTAGATTAAAATAATATTGTGTTTGTGTGTGTGTGTATATATATATATATATATAGAAACATTCTTTAATAGTTTTAGCTTTCATTTTTTTGTTAACGACACTGAATTGACATTGTGCAATTTTGACAGTGTTGTGTTTGTGTTTGCCGTTCAGTTCTTTGATCGTCTGAGGTTGTTTGGGATGCCGGCGAAACACCAGCCTGATTTTATCTACCTGAGACACGTCCCGTTGAGAAAGGTTCACCTGTTCACCATTATCCAGCTCAGCTGCTTGGTGCTTCTCTGGGTCATCAAAACTTCCAGAGCTGCCATAGTCTTTCCTATGATGGTAAGATGTGTGTTTATGTTTATATAGATACTGTGTGTGTGTGTGTGTGTAGTATATATATACAGTATATACATATATATATATTTGAGTGTGTATGCAATATATGTGTGTATCTCATATGATGTCTGCGTGTTTTCTTGCAGGTCTTAGCCCTTGTGTTCATCCGTAAGCTGTTGGATTTTGTCTTCTCTAAGCGAGATCTCAGCTGGCTTGATGACCTCATGCCCGAGAGCAAGAAGAAAAAAATGGAAGATGCACAGCAAGAGGTACCACCACCCCCCATCACACACTGCTATTGGTCGCGGCCTGCAACAACGCTATTGGCCGGCAATGACCAATCACTGCAGACAATGTTTTAAAAGGAAAGGTCACCAACATGTTTTATTCTCACTTTCAGGAGAATCAGTGTGTCTTGATGGAGGATGAAGGAATTGTACAAGTGCCCTTAGAGGGGCATTTTAAGTAAGTAGAAAAAAAAAAATTGTTTGTACACTGTAAAATGGGCAAACTGCTGTTATCTAATCTAACCCTTAAATCTAGCTTTGTTAGAGTATTTATATTGATTCAGTGATTTGAAAGAAATATTTTATTGAATAATTAATTTGACCAATTAATGTAGATATTATACAAAGCACACTTATTTATTTATTTACTTATTTACCTACTTATGTATGTGTGTATTTATTTCATTATTTTACTATTATTATTATTATTATTATTTTAAGAAAACATACACTACCGTTCAAAGGTTTGGGTCAGTAAGATTTAGTTTTAAAAGAAATTAATGCTTTTTTCAGCAAATTGTTCAAAAGTTACAATACAAATATTTATAATGTAACAAAAGCTCAAATAAATGCTGATAAAACAGATGCAAATAATTGCTGTTCTTTCGAACTTTTTATTAATCAAAAAATTCTGAAAAAAAATCACCTGTGTTCCGTGTCTTGTGTTTTGCTCCCCATGTGCTCCCCATGACCCAGTTTCTCCCATGTTGATTGTGTTTATTGATTTCAGGTGTTCCTCGTTGAGTCCCTCTTCTAGTCATGTATTTAAAGAGTGTTATGTGCCTTGGTTCCTTTGTCCGGTGTCTAACATCAATCCCCGTGCTACGTGTGTGTTCCTTCCTGTGAGTCTTTATTTGGTTAAAATAAAGATTTTTCCCCTTGATACTCTCCGTCGTCTCCGCGCTCCTTCGTTCCTCACAGTAGCAACCGTGACAGAACACCGGACCTGCATACAGTAAGCGGCACCCCTTCTCCCTGAATTCTGCGGGCTTGCAGCAATGACAGCGTTGGATGACGCGACGCTGAATTCTTTGTTCTGGATCGGGGCCAATTACCATCGCCCTGTGGACCTCCCAGACACCACTGGACTGTGTTGGAGGGAAGGGATCCTCCGGTGTCTGGAGAGCGTCTGGCCCCGATCCAGAACCGCTCCGCCATCAAGCTCGCCAGACACTCCAACGTCAAGCCCGCCAGCCGCTCAGCAGTCAAGCCCGCCGGCTGCTCAGCAGTCAAGCCCGCCGGCCACTGCACTCTCAAGCCCACCGGCCTTTCCATTGTCAAGCCCGCCGGCCGTTCCATTGTCAAGCCCGCCGGCCAATTCACTCCCAAGCCCTCAGCTGACAGTAGCTTTCTCCCTCGCCTCAAACCAGGGGAGGAATCTAAGGAGGAAAAGGCTGTTAGCTCGAGTCTATGAGTCCACTACAGTGTCGGCTCCAGCCCCTGAGTCCGCTCCAGTGTTCGGCTCCAGCCCCTGAGTCCGCTCCAGTGTCGTCTCCAGCCCCCGAGTCCGCTCCAGTGTCGTCTCCAGCCCCTGAGTCCGCTCCAGTGTCGTCTCCAGCCCCTGAGTCCGCTCCAGTGTCGTCTCCAGCCCCTGAGTCCGCTCCAGTGTCG